ATGTTCAAAGTTTTTGTGTGTCTTTTTATCATACCAGAGGTATGCATGCCATCTATGCCTTAAGTTGAATCCTTCGAGATTTAACAGTTTCTGATTTTCCAGCGTTATCCAATCAGAGAGATATACTAAAGCATTAGCTTGGTAATACAGGTAAAGGTCTGGAGGATTGCATCCTCTGTTTTGTCTTATATCTATTAAAGTCTTCCATTTCACCCTTGGTTTTTTCCCCTCCCAAATAGATTTCTTAAGCTCTTTGTTCCATTCGTTAAAAGGCTTTTTATTTGTTATTATTGGTAAATTAGAAAATAGAAAATTTAACTTTGGTAGTATTACCATTTTAATTGCAGCTATTTTTCTGAGCAGGGATAGTTTTAATTTTGTCCACCCTATAAGATCTTGCTATATTTTTCCATGTTGTCTTATAGTCGTTATCAAAAATGTCTGTGTTTTTATTTGTTAACCATATACCTAGGTATTTGGCTTTTTTTGTAATTTTACATTTTGATTTTTCTTGCAGTTGATTGTTTTCTTCCTTGGACATGTTTTTTGCTATGAATACCGATTTTTCTCTTTTAATTTTGAAGCCTGCAATTTCCCCAAAGTTAGAAAATGTATTCATTAACTTATTAATGCTATACAGAGAATCTTCTAGGAAGATTACAAGATTGTCCGTGTATGCCCTTAACGAATATTCTTTACCTTTAATTTTTGTTCCATGTATCATTGGGTCCTTCCTTATCTTATTATTTAATATTTCTAAAACTGTGATGAATAAAAGTGGGGATAACGGGCATCCTTGCCTTGTTCCCTTTTGAATAGATATTGGGCCTATTTTTTCTCCATTTATTAATAAGTGAGTGTATTGTTTTTCATAGATATTTTTCACCAAGTTTAGGAAATTATCTCCTACTTTTATTTTTTCCAATGCCCCTAGCATACAATCCCAGGTTATATTATCAAAGGCCTTTTCCACATCAATTAAAAACAGAGCAAACTTCTTTTCTCATAGTACTCTATGGGATTTATTACAATTTGGGTATTCTCTCTTAAATGTCTAGAAGGTAGGAATCCAACTTGATCTTTGTGGATAATATCATTCAATGTTTCTTTTAATCTATTTGCTAATATAGCAAACGCAGCGGGAGAGGGGACTGCTTCATCTGCCCTGA